CACACACACACACATACTCATACACGTAACTATATATAGTTATCATTTTACATTTAAGTATATATTTATTACATAGTATTGCCATTTTTATCTTTTATGTATTATATGTAGTCTGTAAGTTTCATTGATTGTTTAATTTGTTTTTTATTGTTTTTCTTCTATTTTGGTTTTATTTTATTGTGCATCTACCACCCATTCCCAGATTCTTTTCAAAAATTCCATCGAAAGGTTGTCTGGAAGAAATCGCCGCGTGTGATAAGACCGCCCATTGTACTCAAATTACTATTGAAATGCTAACAATTTTTTCTATGTGTGCAATAAAGTATATATAAATAAATAAATAAATAAATACCATCTATCTTTATGTATGTAATACATTTTCCACTTTGCTGCAAAAAATAAGGTTGAAACTATGGTGAAACTATATTAAAAAGTACCTAACATTTGAAGTCAAAACAATTGCATCTATGCGTCTGTTATTAAGCCGGCCTTTAACTCATTAGCATTATTTTAGAACAAAAATATGTAATTATTTAATTTATAATTATTTTGTTCTCTTTATCCTCGTATCGTTTTAAATTTGAACTTTCTAAGAATTACGGCGTCGTGAGAAACACATTGTGTTTCTTCTGAATATCAAATTACCTAATTAGTTAATTGTTTTATTTTACTTGGCATACTTAAGCACACAGTACCTACAATAAAAAAACAAAATAACTTTTAGTCAAAAATGCGAGCCAACGTCGTTAAATTAATAGTTGTTCTCAACCTATCTGCATAAACTACCCGTATAACTTAAAAAAGGTTTACCTACAGCATTTAGCTATAACATTTCTAAATACCTACCTAGCGATAAATAATATACCTAATGCGTGATTAACTAAGCGTAGGCGTAAAATTCTTATCTACGTATTTTATTCAAGTCATTAGGTTTATCGATTTTCTAGATTTGCCTATTTATAAGTAGATCTATGCCTGTTTTAAACGTTAGGTATACTTAGATTCAACTAATCATTGCCAGTTCTATATTTAGCACGATATACTTAGTACCTACCTAATTGATTTGCGGTAAACCCCTGGAGTAACTAAAGTAGGTAAACAAGAAATAATTAATATCTAACAAATGTATCTAACTCGACCGTTACTGTCAATTTTTTTCTTAAACTTGATTAAACGTCATTGCACTTGCACTAGAGAGGTACTTCGTTAAAGTAATTATACAAACGCACATGATATTATGCAGATTATGAAATGACGTCACTTAACACTGTTGTGCAATTTCTCTGATCGCTGATTGTCACGCGTTCGAATCGGGCCAGTGATTCAGTCCGGTTCGCGAACCCAATACAGGCGAACGCGATCGCAGCTCAAATTTAAAATACGAAACGTAAATAAAAAACACAACATTGTCTATTATCTAATTAAAAGTTTTTCACATAAAATCTAAGTTATCTGTGGTGCAAAATGAAAGTGTTCGTTGGATTGTTTTTATTGGCAAGGTAAAGTCATTTTTAAATTAAGAATTGCTATTTATATTTCCTGTTGCTAACATCTGTGGTTAATTATTATTTTACTCACTTTAAAGTTAAGCAATAATATAATTGTTAGCTTGTTCACGCATTGTAATAGATTGGTAAATATTGGCAACCATGTAGTTAAAAATTATATGCTTGTTATATTCCACGCACTGGCCGTTCGGTGTCGTTGCACTTGCAAATAGTTTAAATTGATTGATTCATTGTCGTATCAATCAGAATACAAACGATAGTGTTGTTCTCACAAGGAAGTAGCAAGATATAGATCGATTAGATAAAATTTTAGTACTTACCTAGGTTTAGTTTCCGTACTTCGTGGTATATTATCGTGGCAAATAAGCATCGATCTAGGCGTGCAAATGTTTGTTTATATGCATTATCAGTTATTGGTGAGTGGCTAGTTAGATACTCAGATAGGTATATATTTTCTACTACATCAAGCAAAAATTATCAAGCTATTTACAAGCATTTTACCATGTAATAGGTACCGGCGAAAAGATGTTTTTTATTATCTTTGAATAATTTAGAAGTTTTTGGTAACTATTTTAAATATATCATTAGAATTCGTGTAGGTATCTAAATAGATACATTATAAATAGATAACAATTAGTTGAATAAAAATACTTATACCTACTTTACTGTTAGTAGTATCACTTTACTGTGGTAGCTGCTTATTCAGTTATTTCATGGAAAAGGTGATGTGCTCGAGTAATTGTTTAACTGTTTCAATGTTAATTCAACGCAATTTTTCTCAATAGTCGTGGGTTGTTTGTTCTCTGGTTCTCATTGTGTTAACGTTTCTACATGCCCCAATACTTTTACATAACTTACCAAACACCTATTAGTTTACCTAGGTACTTAAGTATATGTACCAATAAGTACATTAGGGAATTAGCTGGGATTAACCTCTATTTAAGTAGATGCCATTCCGATTATTATTAAACCACAAACAATGGCGCTGACCCGTGTTTCACGCTTGACAAAAACAGGTTTAATATCACGACTTTAAATAATTTATTCATACCAGATAATAAATATGAATTGTAGAAATAATAATTATGATTGAGTAGACATAGGAAGATCGTGTTTATAAATATTCAAATGCCATATTCTTTAATTTACTTTAATGTAACTGGCAACCCTTGTTTGAGCGGGAAATCAATGTTGTTTATTTTTTTTTCAGCTTGTCACCATGTTTAGCAAGATCACCAGCGTTGATTCTCACTGAATTAGTGAAAAAAAATTTAGCAGAACAAGCAAGAAACCTTTCTTTAGTGGATCCAAAATTATTTTATAATAGAACAAGTTATTCCGGATTCTTCACTGTCGACGAAAAGTACAACTCGAATCTATTCTTTTGGTACTTTCCCGCGGAAAATTATAAACCGGACTCGCCATGGATATTGTGGTTACAAGGAGGTCCAGGAGCTTCGAGTCTTGCTGGACTCTTTGACGAGATAGGACCTTTTGAAATTAAGGATAAGGAATTGAAATGTGAGTACCTTAAAGTTAATACTTAGTATTAAAATGTAACTTAATTCTTAAGTTTTTGTGACACACACATGGAAAAAGGAAATGCATAACGCTTATTGAAAAGCACGTAGGTTTACCTATTTCCTCGAAAATATTTTAACATCAAATGTTATCAAAACAAGACCAAAAGGATTGCACTATAAAAAACTTACAAGATCTCATAATTATGGTACCAAGTTTGTAACTCTTTGAATACTTTAAACCGTTACTTCATACACTAAAATTAGTTTAAATAACCTCTTTGTTAAAACGTAAGCGGGCATTCCCGTGTCCTTAGACTACGATGACACACGGACACACCCTTTTAGTATTCACGGAAAGACGCAGCGATGAAATTAATGAGTAGGTACATGAGGAAATCCTGAGTAGATTATTGATTACAGAAATAAATAAATATTAAAACGATCAAACAAGAAGATAGTTAATATTTATCAAGGTGTCTTCAAGTTGCGTAAATTCAAAATACTTTTGTATCTTCTACGAAACCGGCGCAGATATAAGTAATTTCCATAAATAACTGGATGTTTACTCAAATATGTAATAGTACCTAAGCTACTTAGTAACATCAATGAACTTTTACATCAACGACAAGATGACATTAAATTCGACTTATTACTTAATTAATTTTAAGTGTGGGAGAGTCATGCTTCAGCACGAATAGGCCGGTTCGACTGGAGTGATGCCACGGCCTCACAGATGAGAAAACCGGCGCGAAGCAACGCTTGCGTTGTGTTTCGTCATGCGAGTGAAGTTACCGGAGGCCAAATTACGCCTTACGCCCCCCCCCCCCCCCCC